ATTTTTGCATATTTGAAATGGCATGGTCAAGGGCTTTTCAAAAATGTATAATTTGTCATTTTTTGGACAAATTTTTTTTTGCAAACATTTTTACTATAAAACTGGATTTTGCGATAAAAAATTCAGACTCAATTCCTTTGGAAATTTTTTTGCAGATTCTAAAAGTAGAGCACAAGAGCTTTCTAATGATGTATCATTTGTCATATTTGGACATAAAACATGGGATTTAGAGGGGGGGGTCAAATTGACCCCCCCCCAGCGTATCCTGGTTTTCAAGTACCCCAGCGGGGATAGGGTTAAACCCAACTACCCTAACTACCAAACTTCTTCACTTTATTAACTTTATAGTTGTAAACCAATTTTGCTAAAAATTATTTCGGATAGAAAGGAAGTGTAGATCACGGTCAAACGTACAGTACATTCAATAAAATTGAATACTGTGCAAATTTTGTAACTTATTCATGATTCCAATTTCTCTCCTTAAAATATAAGTAGGCAATTCTATAGAACACCTTGCCAAATCAAATTCTTTGTTTAATAATTATTTTAAGGTTGAGTTCTAAGGTTTCCAATTAAAATAAACAAATAATAAACATATATAAACTTGTTTAGGTATCTAGAACTTTGATGTTCAAATATATTGCAATAATTAAATTTAATTAAAGCTGGTGCCGCGTAAATTATTTTCCTGAAATAAATATTGAGAGGGCGTCCATATATGAAGGATGGGATATTAATGAAGATATAAAAATCCAATATTTATTGCAAATTCCAGCTGAAAAGCAAAAGATGTGCAAAAACTGTCTCGAGAAATTGATATAAAACTGTGTCAAATTATACGAAAATTCATATTTAGCAAATACGCAACCAATCTGAAAACGAAGATATCCCAATGAAACCTAATTGTAACTTAGGTTTTCTCCAATTATTATTTTATAATTATTTTTAATAGATATAATTGATAATATTATCTATCAGTCCATATTACATCACAATACCTCCCATCAATGAGAGTTCAGTATAGTGGTCACATGTCTCCGTCTGTATCACGTGATTAAGATTGGAAAAAATTTAAGTTGCAATTAGGTTGCTTTGGGATATCTTCGTTTTCAGATTGGTTGCGTATTCATTTTTCCTTTACAGTACCTTTCAGTCAAAATTTTAGGCAAATCAGGATTTTTTCTTTATTTCTCCCATAAAAAGTTGACTCACTAAATTTGGAGTTTTTAAACCAAGCGAAGAATATTCCCGTGGTTCTACCGAGTTCCTCAATAAAAATATTCTCAGTTAGGGGTTCTATATATATATATTTATAAATCTAATATCATTTTTCAAAGTAAAGTTTAAAGTTATAATAATTACCTAATTATACAGAAATATATAAGTTGTATCAATTCAAATTCTTATTATAAATATATAAAACTTCAAAGACTATGTTATAGCAACTAAATTAATCATACAATTTTCCTTTCCCAAAAATCTGTAAAATTTTTCAGAACATTGTCCAGCTGAAACTATTTCTTTGGTTGAAAGTTTCTGTAAATCATGAATTTTTCTCATCTTCTTTAATTCTGTTTACATGTTTGTTTGTATGGTCATTTATAATTTATGGATCGATTCAAATCACTTTTTAATTTATAAACATGATTTAGCTTGATTCAGGCAGCATATGAATACACTTTCGGTAACTGAAATGATGATATAATTGATAATTTATTGTAATAACACTGATAACTTTTTAATATTAGTTTTTCAGTACAGGCTATTGTATTAAAAAATATTCAAGCTTCTTTAGTATAATATCCCAATTTCAGTAAACGATTTTGTATTGAAGATGTTATGTACTAAAAATAAACAATTACTGTGTCCCATGCTTTTTAAAGTCATAACTTAAGTCCTCATTTTCAGAGTTTTCTGTAGTATATCATAAATTTTGTAAAAGTATAAAACTTTTTAAATTTAAAATTACTATTTCATGGATAATTTTATCTATCTATCTATCTATCTATCTATCTATCTATCTATCTATCTATCTATCTATCTATCTATCTATCTATCTATCTATCTATTTATCTATCTATTTTCTCTTTCTATCTACCTATTATTATGTCTTCTATTTAAGTATTTATAAACATGTTTTGAAAATATTAATGGGTAGTAACAACTTAAAGTCCATTATAACGGTACATATACATGGAGAGGGAGGGGGGTAGAGGGGGTAAAGGGTTGGTTGAGGCTATCGGGGTTAAAGGGGGTCGAATAGAAAGGTAGAGGTCAACACATTGAGTAGAGGGGGGGGGGAGGGGGGTTGAAGCGGTTCAATAATAGATTTAATTTGAAAACAATGTGTGTGTTCTTTTCAAACAAGGTAGACATTTTTTCCAAAACATAACATTCTATGTTTTTCTAGATTTATAAGAAAAAAAACAAATAATTTTAAAAATGGATCTTCATATGAAAGATTTTAGCTACTCACCCCTTCCCTTCTCCAGGTTGCCGGTCTACCTGCCCGACCGGCTGTAGATAGTTTGGTACTGCAGTTAAAGCTGGGATTTAACTGCGCAGTAAAGCTAGAAATGTGGCGGTCAGCACTACTCGTTCTTCTCTGCTCCGTTCAACTCTCTTTACAGTTCTCTATTGAGAAGGTATATTTTCCAAAAGAGATATATATATTCCCCACTTTCCCCCGATTTCCTGCCTGGGCTAGCTGGAACTCCCTCCCCTTGGCGTCTATGCATATTGCTATCGTGGTCTGTTTAATTAATATTCAGCCAGAGGTCACTGAATCTGTAGAAATCTGAGAGAAAAAAAGGGATTCTGCTTCGTTTCTTTTACAATTACATGCATAAACTTCATACTAGCGCCTCTAGTGTCATAAATGTTTTTCAAATCTGCATCTACCTAATTCATCTACTTAATTCATCTACTTAATTCATCTACTTAATTCAGTTTGTACTCAAGAACACCTATACTCTATCTTTATTAACTCTATTTTTTCAACCAAGAAATTTAAATAAAAGGAACCTGTACATAGGGACAGGATCCGTAATAAACATAAAGGTTTTTTTTACCTTAAAAGAATAAGAATAATAACGAATACATCGATGTAATACAATTGCATGATGTAATACAAGAATATAAGTTTACAATATAATACAGTGAAACCCTTAATAACGAATACATCGGAAGAATTTATCAAATGTCCTCTTGACAATTTTTCAATGAGTTTTATACTATATTACGTAAATTTCAGTATTTGCGAAAATAAATAAATAGCCATGAATATGCAGGAACAGTTTTAAAGAGTTCCATATAATCATTTAATTAAAAAACTAAATATCTGCAACATTCCATTATCAGAAAGTGAAGAATATGACATTTGATGAATTCTTTCGATATATTCGTTATTAAGGGTTTCACTGTACATAGTTTTTTTAGCCTTACATAAATTCTGTAAAGTTTCGTAAAATGAAGAAAAAAAATAAGCATACTGGCTTTTAATACTTTTAATACTTTTAATACTGTTAATACTTCTAATACTTTTAATACTTTTAATACTTTTAATACTTTTAATACTTTTAATACTTGTAATACTTGTAATACTTGTAATACTTTTAATACTTTTAATACTTTTAATACTTTTAATACTTTTAATACTTTTAATACTTTTAATACTTTTAATACTTTTAATAAGAACTATCTATCTATCAGATAAGAATTTTGCGTGAGACACCTAGCGGCCAAACTATCGTCCCCCAAAGTACGTGAACAACACGGCCACTGTTTAAACATTTTTATGGAGAGAACGGGCTCTGTGGTAGACGATTATTCAAAACAATGAAGACGACTTTTTATCTAAGTTTTGATTGTAAACAAGCTTTATTCGTAGTACAAGCTTACAAGTAATCAAAGAGAATCTTTAATAATTGACGGCTTTTATTGACTTCTATGTTTATGTGTATTCATGATGTTAAACAGCTTGATATAAATCAAAATTATTCATATTGATATAATCGCCTACCACTATATTTAGAAGGTGACTGCGCTAACACAAGGTAGTAGAGAAGGGAAAAAGATCAGCAGCGCCGTATCTACCAGATTATTCTTTGTATTTGATGAACCAAGCTGCAGGTAAATCACGTCGAAGACGACATTCATTTTTATCATTTTCTTTTTATAAATATGGTTAGTGATTGTAGTCTTCGTTCTTTAGTTAAAATTTCGCGCGAAGAATATTGAAATTTTTCTGGAGATTTTTAGAGCACATTTTTAGAGATTTTTTACTTACAAATTATGCCAATAGTTAGCAAAATTTCTCGAATAGAATATCTCTTTGTTTTCTGGTTTTCTGGTTACCACACAAACCTTTTCTATCATAATTTGATTTTGTCCTTCAGTATTTTCATACAGTGAAACCCTTAATAACGAATACATCGGAATAATTTATCAAATGTCGTCTTGACAATTTTTATACTATATTACGTAAATTTCAGTATTTGCGAAAGTAAATAAATAGCCATGAATACATGCGGGAACCGTTTTAAAGAGTTCCATATAATTATTTAATTAAAAAACTAAATATCTGCAACATTCCATTGTCAGAAAGTGAAGAATACGACATTTGATGAATTCTTTCGATGTATTCGTTGTTAAGGGTTTCACTGTACGTAAATTGGAAAACGATACATATAAAAACTGTATCAGATTTACGAAAAAAGGGCGCAATTGGTTCAGTCGTTCCAAACATGACACCAAGATAATTAAAGTGTTCCTTTAAGCTGAAAACTTGGCTTGTTATTATTGTCACATCATTTATTTTGCATATAATTATGTAACATTTAAATTTTTAAAAGTTTCAAGTCGTCATCAAATATTATTTTTAAATTTTTGTACACTACACTACACTATACAGGGTTTCCGGGAATTAGATGACGAGTTCGAAATCGTCTTTGTTAAGATATAGGGCTGTAAGAGTTTCAGTTTATTTTAATAATCATAATAAAGTTACGAGTACATTTTACGTGGACGGTAACAGGCAAAATGTTGTTTGTATGATTTCAAATAAAAAACTCGTTTAAAAAGTCGATATTAAAATCGTTTCTCAATTCCCTTGCTCATTCCCATTGATGACTTCTTAACCTTATATGCCTTTACTTTTTTATGCTTTATTGTAATAAAATATACATAAGATTGTTTAAAAGTCGTTTTCCACAGATGTATGGGTCTCACTGCATAATGTATGTTTTATATAGGAATTGGCGGTTGATGGTTAAGCCAGATAATACCTTTTCATTGATTTTTTAATCTCTTTATTGCAACCTAAAATATTCAAAAGCTTTTGATAATGTCGTCTTCCTATTCTACAGATTTATGGGTCTATATATTTAAAATTTTCAGGAATTGGTGGTTGATCGTTGAGCCACATTGTTTCCTAGTAGAATCCACTGGACTCGATCCCTTCAGGGTACACACCTGCTGTAAGGTTTACCTCCAGGATAGGATTGACCGGCTGGATCAAGATGGCGGTCATGAGTTTGAATTTATAGAAAATCAGGAAGTAACTGTTGTCAATGCTGACAACTTTGATTGTTGTTGTAAGAAAACAAAGAAGAAGAAATCTTTCACTTTTGGAGATTGCAAGAAGCATCATGGATGGGCAGAGCGTAAAAAGGATAAATGCGACGATGATGATAATGATAGTGATAAAAAAGGGCATGGACATGATGATCACAAACGTCATAAGAATGATGATAAGCACAAGAAGGATGAATGTAAGAAGGATAAGAAGACTGGTTGGTACAATTGTAAATGCAAAGATATCGGAAGCGCAACTGAAATATCTCTGAATGAAACCCGATCTGTTCAGGGAGTTATTATTATAACTGATTTTAAAAATAAAGCTGAAGTTAGCAGGCTTGGTGCAAAAACAGATCTTGAAACCCAATTTGTTTACACGGATACGGGTTCAAGTGCCAGTATTATAATAATAGCTCATGTATCGTTTTCAGTAGAGGCAACTGAGGTTAGTAAGAAGACGACCGTGACTACTCAAATTATTTTAACTGAAAACCCAACCAACCCGGGAATTATTATTGTCGCAGATCAAGCATATTCCATTGAAGCAAATAATATTGTTAAAGAAACAACATTTGACACTCAAGTGATTCTCACCAAATCTGAAGAAAAATCAGATATAATGATCATTGCTGACATATCAAACTCAGCTGCTGTTACCACTATTAGAAAATCAACATCACTGACGATACAGATCATTCTTATTCAAGATACAAGAGTTGCGCTTGATCAACCTCCTACTATTCCAGGAGTCATAATTATAGCTGACATATCAAACTCCGTTGAAGTAAATTCACTTAGTCAATCAACATCACTTGAATCCCAAGTAGTATTTACTGACTCAACAACGCGCTCAAAAATAATAATTATTGTTCATATTTCAAATTCAGCTGTGGCAACTGCTCTAAGCAAAACTATAACCCTTGATGTACAAATTATTCTGACTCAAGTCAAAACCAATCCTGATATCATAATTATAGCAGACAAATCAAATACAGATGTTGCCAATGCTCTCAGTGAAGCTTCAACACTGTCTGCACAAGTAGTTATCAGTGATCCTGAACCTAGTTCAGAAATAATGTTCATTGCAGACATTAAACACTCTGCTGAAGTAAATACTTTGAAAGCAGCCACGTCACTTAGTGTGCAAGTTGTTCTTATAGAATCAACCATTAATATCAATATTCACAATTCGGTTGTATCAAACACCATCATTGAAATAGCAGCATCTATAGTTGAAGCTATAACTACAGTAGCTGAAACAACTACTGAAGCTGAAACAACTACCGAAGTTGAAACAACTACTGAAACTGAAACAACTACTGAATCTGAAACCACCACTGTAGTTGAAACCACTACAGTAGCTGAAACTACTACTGAAGCTGCAACTACTATTGAAGCTGAAACCACTACAGAATCAGAAACTACTACTGATGCTGAAACTACTACTGTGACGGAAACAGCAACGGAAGCTGAAACTACTGCTGTGACGGAAACAGCAACTGAAGCTGAAACTACTACTGTAACTGAGACAGCAACTGAAGCTGAAACTACTACTGTAACTGAGACAGCAACTGAAGCTGAAACTACCACTGTAACTGAGACAGCAACTGAAGCTGCAACCACTACTGTAGCTGAAACAGCAACTGAAGCTCCAACCACTACTCCACTTCTGTAACTGAGACAGCAACTGAAGCTGCAACCACTACTGTAACTGAGACAGCAACTGAAGCAGAAACAACTACAAAAGCTTAAGTTACTGCAACAGCACCAGCAATGGTTTAATTAACATTTATGATAAAAAACTGCATTGGATAAACAATTATTAATAATTTTCTAATTCAAGAAATTAAAAAAGTTTTTGTTCACAATTTAATAACTGTATGTATGTATGAAATATATTTAGAAAACGTTTTAAGCAAAAATTTATCAATGAATTTAATCATATTTGTTGGGTGTGGCCGTAGGTAATAAAAATAAATTATTTTTCTCTTTTGTATCAAAAAGAAACAACTGTTTGTTATCTTGTGCCTTTCTTTTGGACATTTATTAAGTTTTAATTTCGAATTATTAATGGTTAGAAATTTCTTTTTTTACTTTCCTTTTTAAGATTTCATGAAAATAATATTTTTGGTTATTCTCGAAATTTTCGATGCATCCTGTTATGTGTAGAATGATACCCTTTATCTAGTATATTTACAAAAGAGATAAGCAAGGAAAGAAAGACAGGGGGTGAAGAAAAAACAATAATATTTTTTGTTAACATTTCTGTTTAAATATGCAGTGCATTGTGTAAATCTAAATTTATTATAATTTTCAAGTTTTAGTTTAAATTAACATTTTTCTTTGGATGTCCTTATAGGGTTTATCAGACGTTTCTAAAATAACTCTCAGTTTATTCAATTCATGTTTAGTCGGTTTACAACTTTATAAATTTATGTTTAGTCGGTTTACAACTTTATGAAATAAATGATGAAAATCTTACACTGATGTCTCGTTTAAAAGTGGTGAAGCAGATTCACAAAGAAATTGAGTCTTTGCCACAAACTCAAATTTTCTAATCCCTATATCTTTGCAACCCAATGCCGTAGACCTTCGATATTTCAAACCATGAATTAACTGGTAGATCAAATAATCTAAGTTTGAAATATCAAAGGTTTGCACCATCAAGTTGCTAAGATATAAGGATTAGAAAATTTGAGTTTGTGACAAAGACAAAGTCCTTTTCTCTGACATTGAAAAGTAAAATTTCAATTGTTTTAGAAATGGTAAAAATGTTTTTTTGTGTGTATCATCAATCAATTTCACTATTAAACGTCATATATACAAATTTTTGTTCAAATCAATTCGTGGTTATAGGTTGCAAATACAAAATTTCCAAGTAGAGAACTTATGTATAATTATTTTCGCTGCAATCGGTTTAAAAAATAATAACGACAGAACGAATTACAGAACTTAATATGTTGCTACTTTACGCATCGGTACTGTTAGTGAGTGTACATACTGTACATTCATCTTCATGTACTGCCTTCTCTGTATCAGAATGTACGGTAAGTAAATGTTTTTATTACATGGTTTGCGCAAAATCATTATGTTTAATTTTTTCAATAACATTGCATTTTACAAATGTTATTTTTAAAAAGAATGATTAAAAATAATTACAGAAATATGTGATAAATGTGAATTACATGTTTACTTTCTTCTTCCTCATACTGTAGGTGAAATTTTAAATGTAGATTTACAAATCTGTAACCACACAAGGTTTGGCTATTCATCCATTTTTAATTTTGAAAACGGATTATTTTACATTGTGGTTTCTCCACAAAAGTGACTTGCGCATTTCAGTCGCAGGAAATTAATGTAGGAACTATCAGATTTAAACACTTTTCAGGCTGGAAAAACGACATTATCTTCCACATTATCAATCAGAAAAATGTTTCAATGGTACTGTTGGGAATTGGGCGTGCTCATATTTTATCCAGGAGGGGGCTTAAACTTATTTTTCATATCCATGCCGAGAATTGAATCCTCCTAAAATCATAGTTCTCACTTCTTCACAGAATATTATTATTATGTACTCTAGTATATGAAAAATTCAACGCAACAACTCATATTATCAAATATTCAACGAGTTGGTTTTACAATTTATTATTATTATTTACACAAACACGACGAATAGAAATAAGAAAAAACTATACGAATCAATAAGCATGAATAAAGATTATCCAGAGTTAGGAAGATCTCCAGGAGAACCTATTATTCAGGGAGCTGGTCTTCAACTGCCATTTTCCCCCAAATTTCACTCCACCCTAGCCTAGATTTGGCGGAATTGGTCTCATTCTTTGGTTAACGGGTCGGGCATTTGGTATTAATTCAATTTTAAATGTTTCCCAAGTAGTTTTACCCACTTTACATTCCTCAGTGGTAAAAATATCCTGGTTATCATTTATCATTGAGTACACCATATTTTTCACATTTACGTTTTCTCGCAAAATTTTATTTTCATTCCATTTTAATTCTGCCCAAATTTTCTCTGTGACCGCAGGATCCTTCACCCCATTTTTTACAACATTTACAACAGGTTTAGTTTTGTTTTCAAAAATCATAGAGCCATGAGCTATTAATTGATTGGGCGAAATAATTACATCTTTATCAGATAAATTTGAGTACATAATAACAAGTGACTTATCTTTTTGTTGGGTTTTATGACGATACACTACAGGTAGAGCACCATCAAGGAGTCCTTCATCAAGGGGCTGTACATGCACCTCTACTGCTTGAGTTGTTTGCTTGGGAATTTTTACAAAGTTTTTAGATGTTAACAGCAGAATAGGCGCACCTTCATTATCAATAGCAAAGTCTTGAGGGGGAAGGGGTGGGACTTCGGACCTGAAGCTGAAACTACTACTGTAACTGAGACAGCAACTGAAGCTGCAACTACTACTCTACTACTGTAACTGAGACAGCAACTGAAGCTGAAACTACTACTGTAACTGAGACAGCAACTGAAGCTGAAACTACCACTGTAACTGAGACAGCAACGACGGGCTGTGCACAATCTGTGCACTAGATTGGTCTAAAATGGGGCTCAGACTGTTTGTTTTTAAAAAATTTATCCCTATAATAACTGGCAGAGATAAATTATTCAAAACAACAGCTGAGCCTGAAAATATGGTTGAAAGATTATTAAACCTAATTCTAACTTTTAACTGTCCTACTGTTTCCATCGTCGAATTTGAACTAGCCCCATTTGCTGAGTCCAACTCCGACGGTACTAAATTTTCAATTTTTTCTCTCAAATTGTTAATGAAAAAATACTCACTGATAGCGACGCCTGTTGGTATAAGGGCGCCGGTATCGATTAAAATCTTCGTGTTTTTAAAATCTTTACCTGTACACTCCATGTCCATTGATACATTACCCTCCAGGAATGAAGTTGCTTCAATCAGGTTGATATCAGATCTTCTAGGCCTTCGGTTGTCTGGTGCGAATCTGCCCTTCTTGATTATGGAACTTGCTCTTGCATTTGACACAGTACATTTTCTGACCATTTTTGACGCAGTCAGAGTGCTTATGATTTTGACCACAATAACGGCATACTAAGGTTCAGCAATCACACATATAATGCGGTGATCCGCACTTGAAACAGACTGGAGATTTTGCTTCTCTTTGCTGGATTGCATTTACATTTTGTTCAGGGTGTGAGCTTTTGACCCTTTGTTGGAATTGGAGTACAGAATCACATAGCGTGGTCCATTGGAACAGGACAGTAATAACAATGGAGTTGAAACCCTCGCAAATCTTCTTTAGCAAGAGAGACGCCTGTGACATTGTCCATCCTGAACTAGGCCCCCAAGCATCCTCTGCGGTATCACGAGCTTTTTGCAGATAGGTTTGGACAGTTTCCGAGTTTGTCTGACGAAATCCTTTGTAAATATCCATCATAGCTTGATCTTGAGAGATGGGGCTGTGGACCACAGTAGTGATGAGTTGCAGGAGGTTTAGGTAGGAGTAGGAGTCTTCTCTAGCTTCTTGACCAACATCCAGATTGAGAATGCGTTGTTTTAAACTCAAAGAACACGAGTTATAAACAAGCGCGATTCTGCCGACTCGACTATTTACGAAAAATTTGTCGAAAATGTCGGAATAATGCGCAGACCAGTACTTGAGAGATTTTGTAGAAAAATCTTGTTCCTTCAGGTTCTCGACCACCTTGGATATTATCTTCGTTTCCGTTTCAGTCAACTGATCCCATGGCATAGGAGACTTGGTTTCTTGAGTGGGGACAGTTTTTGCCTTGATAAGTTGGGATATTTTAGATTTATCATCTTCCCGGGCGAGAGAAATTCTTGCTTCATTCGTCAGGGTGTTGGTTAATGATTTCTTTACTGATTTGTCGATGTCAGGAATTTTTTCTACGGCGTCTTCGAACAGTTCAACTTGTGATGCGACAGGATCTTTAGAGGCTGGCAAAAATACATCTTTTAACCATGTGAGGAACCAGTCCGGCTTTCCCGCATTGCGGGATGGTCCTGCGGCTTCGTTGTCCATCCTAGTAGAAAAGAATAAAGTAGGGACTAATGAAAAACTTAAATTTGAAAAACATTTCGTCCATTTTTGTCTCTAACATTTTAACTTAACTCGCGTCAAATTTAACTTTTGTCAATCTGTCGAAAATCCTAGAGCTTGATGAAAATATTTGCGCCATACTCTTACACTTATTAATTAACGATTAAAAAAAATAAAGATAAGGCCGTTTTACCTTGGAATTAATAGTTAAACGTTCACAATTGTAAAAGTAACTGGTAACTGTGGCGTAGGTTGAGTTAGCGTCTATTTTCAATGCCGCGTTTCGCGCAAGCTCACCGATAGTACTCTAGCATTTTGGTTAGGGTGGACCGAAATGAAACAGAACTATTTCGTCGAATATTATCAAAAATGAGTGTTGTTATTTGGGCTTCCAATTTTGCAACTGTATCACCATCTAGTATATGAAAAATACAAGGCAACAACTCATATTTTCAAATATTCAACGAGTCGGTTTTACAATTTATTATTATTATTTACACAAACACGAATAGAAATAAGAAAATACTATACGAATCAATAAGCATGAATAAAGATTATCCAGAGTTAGGAAGATCTCCAGGGGAACCTATTATTCAGGGAGCTGGTCTTCAACTGCCATTTTCCCCCAAATTTCACTCCACCCTAGCCTAGAGCTTAACCCTAGTTCCCCGGGAGCTGGCCTGCCATCCCACCAGCACCCGGGCCTCTGGAATAACGGAACAATTGGCGTGGCTTGGGTTATTTATAGGATTCACATACAAACTCAAATAAATCCATTAGGTCTATACAAGGGATAGAAAGAAAAAGAGGGGGGGCGCAACCCCTTCTTGATCGCAGGAAGGATCAACACATCACTTTTCCTGCTACAGTACATTGTACAAGAACAAGAAGACGACAAGAATTCTACAGTTTTCCGGTTCCGGGGTTGTGAAAAATAAATTTAGTTTAGGTTATCTCATAATATACAAGGGTGATGCTAATACCATCTATTTCAGGGTGATACTAACATCATCTATTTAAGGGGATGCTAACACTACCTATTTCAGGGTGATGCTGACACTATCTGTTTCAGGGTGATACTAACATCATCTATTTCAGGGTGATACTAACACTATCTATTTCAGGGTGATACTGACACCATCTATTTCAGGGTGATACTGACACCATCTATTTCAGGGTGATGCTGACACCATCTATTTCAGGGTGATGCTGACACCATCTATTTCAGAGTGATGCTGACACCATCTATTTCAGGGTTATACTAACATCATCTATTTAAGGGTGATGCTAACACTATTTATTTCAGGGTGATGCTGACACTATCTATTTCAGGGTGATACTAACATCATCTATTTCAGGGTGATACTGACACAATCTATTTCAGGGTGATGCTAACATCATCTATTTCAGGGTGATGCTGACACTATCTATTTCACGGTGATGCTAACACCATATATTCAAGGGTGATGCTGACACCATCTATTTCAAGGTGATGCTGACATCATCTATTTCAGGGTGATGATATTACTATCTGTTTAAGGTGATGCGAACATCACCTATTTAAAGTTGATGCTGACACCATCTATTTCAGGGTTATGCTAACACCATCTATTTCAGGGTGATACTAACATTTAAGAATGATGTGAATACCATATATTTCAGGGTGATGTTAACACTATCTATTTAAGGGTGATGTTAATACTATCTATTTCAGGGTGATGTTAACACCATCTATTTCAGGGTGATGTTAAAACTATCTATTTTAGGGTGATGCTGACACCCTCTATTTCAGGGTGATGCTGACACTATCTATTTAAGGGTGATGTTAACACCATCTATTTCAGGGTGATGTTAACACTATCTATTTAAGGGTGATGCTAACACCATCTATTTCAGGGTGATGTTAACACTATCTATTTAAGGGTGATGCTAACACCATCTATTTCAGGGTGATGTTGACACCATCTATTTAATGGTGATCCTGACACCATCTATTTAATGGTGGTGCTAATCCCATCTATTTCAGGGTGATGGTAATGCCATCTATCTTGAGTTAAACACAAGCAGAGACAAATGTCAACAATATTGTGCTATTGAGGATCAGTGCAAATTCTACAGGTTCCTTTTTCTTAATTTTCAAAATGTGTGTTCACATCTGAGCATTTACAAGTTTTTTTCGTGGATTTATAAAATTTTTCAAAATCTTTTTTTTCGGAGACACTCTTTTGTAATTCTGAGCTTCCATAAACCTTGCCTCACAAAATTTGGGCCCCGATCGATTGTGCCGTTTTAAAGTTTATCGGTTACAAACATACAGACACACAGACTCGTTTATATATAGACTAGCCTTAGAGGGCGCTTCGCGCCCATCTTCTAAATTAATTGTGAACATGTTCTCTTTGTGTACATCGTAAAACAAAACAAAAATAATTCGCGGATTTTCACAAAAAATTTCGTGGATTTTCAAAATTTTCAAAAATTTAATGAAGATCAAATTTTGATGGAGACAAATATTTGAAATTTTGATCATTCATAAACCTTCCCTGGGGTCCCTAGATGTCCCACAAAAAATTTGGGCCCGATCGGTTCAGCCGTTTTGACGTTTATTGGATACAAACAAACAGACAAGCCAAATTTATATATAGATGTATAATGTCTTTGTGTTCATTTTAGTTTTATATTTAGATATTCTGATAAACCAGTTCAGGGTGTTAACTGTTTACTTTACCAGGAACCTTTTAGAACTTACGTCGGACATTGTAACGTCAGGTTAGAACATTTAGTTAGATATATCGAGCACCTTGGTAAAGATAACGAATATTTTGTTAAAAATTTAGTTAAATATAACTAACATTTAGAAAAATATATCGAACATTTAGTTAGACATAACGAACATTTATTTAATCATAACTATAATTTAGTCTGATAAACCTAACATTTAGTTAAGTATATCGAACATTTAGTCAGAGAAAACTAATATTTATTTAAATAAAACTATAATTTAGTTAGATATAACGAATATTGAATTAGATACAACGAAAATTTATTTAGATATAACACACATTTTTGAAGATATAACGAACATTTAGTTAAACTTAACGAACATCTGGGTAGATAAAATAAACATCTTTTATTTATTAAAAATTTTGAATGGTAGAAAACTCAGCGGGAGCGGTTGAGTTATATTATAGTGTCTAGTGTCTACGCAGTCTTGTATAAGAATTTTTTTTTCTCGAATTAAAAAGATGTTCAACCGCTGTAATTGTAATATTTTCGTTAACACTATGATGATTTTTCAGCAACTATTTTTAATATTTTGAACAACTTTATGCTTTCAACCGCTCATGGAAAATAGCTTTTATTGAAAAACGGTTTTGCTCTTAACCTCTGGATTTATGATTTTGAACAACTTTTTTGCTTTCTTTGAACTGGGTTTAAGATTTTCCAGCAATTTTTTTGTTTTCAACCACTGGATTTTTAGATTTTTTTTCTTGAAAAACATTTTTTCTAGATGCAGGACTTTTAATAACTTTTTTGTTTTCAACCGCTAGCTTTAAGAATTTTCAGCAACTTTTTGCTTTCAACCGCTATATTTTAGATTTTCAGCAAACTATTGGGTTTCAGATTTTTCAGCGACGTTTTTTGTTTTCAACCGTTGGGTTGCTTTTAACCACTGGAAAACAGTTTTTCATGAAAAACGTTTTCTTTCAACCAATGGGTTTAACATTTAAAATAAACCGCTTGTTCAACCGCTCGTTCAATCGCTCGTTCAACCACTCATTCAACTGCTCGTTCAACCACTTGTTCAACTGCTCGTTCAACCACTTGTTCAACTGCTCGGCCAACCTCTAGTTTAACCGCTTGTTAAATTGCTAGTTCAATCGCTCGTTCAACCACTCGTTCAATTGCTCATTTAACCGCTTGTTTAACCCCTCGGTAAATTGCTTGTTCAACCACTCGTTCAACCCTCGTTCAACCGCTCCCACTGAGCTTTTTTTTTTTCTTAGATCCGGGCCAAAAGAAAAGGCTCCAAACTGTTTAGAACCGACTGAAGGTAAAATACATTAATTTTAACCTACCCTGGTTAGGCGGGTGCAAACTGCATCTAGTAAATTGTGATTGTTTATTTGTAATATCTTATGCTCTGTAGTTGAATAAAAGTATGAATGAATGAATGAACCAAAACAGATTGTAAAATACTGTTTAAATCCCCCCCCCCGCATTTTTGTCGTTTTAAATTTATTTTCTCTTGATAAATCCTATTGGAAGGAACTGAACACTTGTCATAAACTCCTTACATCTTTACAACGTGATGTTATAGTCCTTGATATTTGAACTATTGGAAGGAACTGAACACTTGTCATAAACTCCTTACATCTTTACAACGTGATGTTTCAGTCCTTGATATTTGAACTATTGGAAGGAACTGAACACTTGTCATAAACTCCTTACATCTTTACAACGTGATGTTTCAGTCCTTGATATTTGAACTATTGGAAGGAACTGAACACTTGTCATAAACTCCTTACATCTTTACACCGTGATGTTTCAGTCCTTGATATTTGAACTATTATTTAAATATTGGAAAAATTGAGGCCAGTGTTCAGTTCCATTTATAGGAAAAAGTAATAAAAAAATAAAACAATAATAAATGATGGGAGCTAAGAAAACACTGTCAATAATAAATGATGGGAGATAAGAAAAAAGAGAAATATTAGGGGGTTCACCGTTTTAATGTGCTTTTATTTAAAAAAATGTTTTTTTTTGTTTAAATATATTTCCTTTGTAGATTCCTGTGATGTGGTTCAAGGGGGTAAATGTATTTATACTGGAGTTACAGTAGAATCATTCGATTCTCTTCAGATGGAGGTAATTATGCTACAACATACATAGATAGGACAACATTGATTCATTTTCCACAACATATATAGATAGGAGAACATTAGTTTATTTTTCACAGAATATATAGATAGGACAACATTGAATCATTTTCCACTGATTGTATAGATAGGGCAACGATTGATATAGTTCAGATGGAGGGAATTATACTAAAGAATATATAGATCGGACAACAATTGATTTAGTTCAGATGGAGGGAATTATACTAAAGAATATATAGATCGGACAACAATTGATTTAGTTCAGATGGAGGGAATTATACTAAAGAATATATAGATCGGACAACAATTGATTTAGTTCAGATGGAGGGAATTATACTAAAGAATATATAGATCGGACAACAATTGATTTAGTTCAGATGGAGGGAATTATACTAAAGAATATATAGATCGGACAACAATTGATTTAGTTCAGATGGAGGGAATTATACTAAAGAATATATAGATCGGACAACAATTGATTTAGTTCAGATGGAGGGAATTATACTAAAGAATATATAGATCGGACAACAATTGATTTAGTTCAGATGGAGGGAATTATACTAAAGAATATATAGATCGGACAACAATTGATTTAGTTCAGATGGAGGGAATTATACTAAAGAATATATAGATCGGACAACAATTGATTTAGTTCAGATGGAGGGAATTATNCAATTCAATCCAAAGTCATAGTAATCATTTTACAGAATATTTAATCTTTCCGAAATTTTCACCTTAATGAATTTAAGATATTGATTTGTAATAAACAGGGTGTCCCACGAAACATGACAATTGGTGAATAGTTTTGAATGTCTTCTTCCATATGCTGTATTAGATATTAAAGACTTTTTGCAGTTTATTTAGCTTTACTGAAATATATTTTACTTAGAAATCAATTTTACTTTAATATGGATGCCATAAAATATTTATTATTATTCTCTATGGCAACAAACAACTTGACATATTATGGAAGAAGACATTTTAAACTATTCACCAACTGTCATGTTTCTTGGGACACCCTGTAGTATATTAAAAACAATGTATATTCTTTAAGGAATGTATGGCATTATGTGCCATTAATCCCAATTGCAAACTTTGGATCCATGAAAAAGAGTCTACGGTAAAACAATTATAAAAATAAATTCAAATATTTGGACATTACAATTTTTTAATTCGTATCTATATCCAGAAAAAAGGGGTCTCAGAAAGTCTTTTAGCGTTTATGTCACATTTAAAATAAATTTGCACCCATAAATCTTTTTTGTTGTGAAACCGTGAAATTTAAGGAATGTTAAATTAGACAAATATTTTTTTATTTGAAAACTAAAGTCTGTGTTCATTTGACTATTAACAATCATAACTTGAATCTATCGGTCATCTTTCTATTCAACAGTTTTATGGATCTGACTGTCTGTATTATATCCCTGTAATTTATTTTTAGAAAATTTTGTTTATAAAAAAAAATTTGTTTAAAGGAATGCCAACTTTTGGACTCTTCTGAAATCATATGTTTGGAAACATTTGGTCCGCGAAGGTAAAAGAAAAATATTTGAAAAAATGCAGGATGATTACTGTTTATTTTTAATGTATTAAAAGCGAGTTAGGGTCTTGTTATGATCGGGAAACTCTGTAGAATTGCACGGGGAATGTTCAGAAAGATTTGTCTTTAGATCACAATTTGAACCATTATACATAATATTTTATCCTTTAGATCACAATTTGAACCATTATACATAATATTTTATCCTTTAGATCACAATTTGAACCATTATACATAATATGTTATCCTTTTTCTTAAATACTTTTTTGTCAGCATATACATTTGAATGAATAAGTATAAAATAAACAAATCCGTAAGTTTAAAGATTGTTGAACTATAGACCAAAACACGTTTGATTTCAAATAAATGAAACCGAATGCTTCTCACTCTGGTTAGTCCGGGGTGGACTTAAGAGAAAGTTTAGATTTTATGCAAATCTTATTTCAAAACTAGTAATATACATAATTTTTAAAAATTCTGGAGTGTATTTATTTTCTGCTTATATTTTTCCCCAAGCCTTGCTTATTTTTTTTTATAAAAATTATAACGATATCAGAATTATGCTTGTTGGTAGTTAATATGCCCGATTTTTTAATAAGATAATTAGTTAAAAAAAATACAAAAAAAACTAATAATAAATCAGCCATATTATTAAAAGGTTCAATTATTTAAGTTAAAAGAACTGAAAGCGTAGTAAATGACAATGCCCGATTCACAACAATACCCATAAAAGCTGTGTCTCTTTAATTATGAATCAAATATCAATGTTTATAATCTTTAAAACTGATTATTGTGGTTTTTCTACAAAAGTATCTTGCGTATTTTTACCGCAGAAAAACATATAGGAATTATCAGAATTAAACACTTTTAAAGGAAGTGTTCGAGAAAAACGAAATTGGGTATAGGCTTAAGGCGAAAAATAATCGCTTTTGATCGCTACTAATCTTCCTTCTATCTGTTGCGTCTATAAGGAGAAAATTGTTGCAAACGACTTGTACCGAATAACGTAGAGTCCATACAAGTTGAGAAAGTTGAAACATACAACTCGGATCGTAAAAAAAAATCAATTTAATATCAACAAGCCATTTAGATATTAAAACCTATAGTCATCGATTAATTTTTGACGCATTCTTGTACAGTAGATATTTTATAATATTTTGTATTTTTTTAAATACAATGCATTCAAGCGCCAATTAGTTTGTCCGCCAGGTGTCTCTGCTCTCGATGCTCTTTATGATTCCACGTGGCAGAGACACCTAGCGGAAAAAATTGTTGTTTTAAGAGCATTGTATATAAAACAAATAAAAAATATTATGATTTGTTGATATTAAATTGATTTTTTTACGATCATAGTCTTATGTTGCAACTGTCTCAATTTGTATGGACTCTCTAAATTCGGTACTAGTTGTTTTTAAAAAGTTCTCCTTATAGATGCAACAGTAGAAGTAAGATTAGTAGCGATCAAAAGCGATTATTTTTTGCCGTAAGCCTATACCCCCTTTCCTTTTTTGCGAACACTCCCTTTAAACCTAGAAAAAAACGACAATATCTTCAACATTATTGAGCATAGAAACTAAAGGTTTCAAGGGTACCGTTGTGAATCGGGAAATTGTCATCTTTGCATGGAGGGTCACTTCAATTTACACCTGCAGTCCCTTTAAACAGATGTCTGATAGGCTATAGCTGGCACCAAAGTATACTATGAAGCATGATCTATACAATTTCACTTCAAAGAAGAACATCAAATATTTAGACTTAACAACTCCAAGTTTCAGGGAGTAAAAAGTTCATAAACAATTTACACAAAACTTGATTAAAACAAAAATAATATTTTGTCATTGAGTAGAGAAAACCCAGAATCATGATTTTTTAAAACGTTTTTTTTTAACAAAACCAAGGAAAAGGTTAGAAATACTTAGAAAAGAAACTGCATCTTAAATCAAACGTTTAGAACTTGGACCCAACTTTAGACTTATAAATACATAAAAAAACTATTCAACCGTTACTGGGACACCCTGTGTATTGTGTATATTCTCATAGTTTCACCCCCACCGAATGTGGAGAAGGCTCAGAACCAAGCACTACTGAAAATCCAGATCAATCAACTCCAAAGGTATTTAAATCAATTCACTCCAACGGTATAAATCAATGTAATTTAAAGCCCAAAGGTAAAAATAAATTTACTACAAAGATATTAATCAATCCACTACAATGATAAAAATCAATTGACTTCAATGACTTCAATGATATAAATCAATTCACTAAAAGATTTACATCAATTCAATCCAAAGGTATAAATAAATTCAACCCAGCAGTAAATGTATTCCAACTTAGGCTATAAATGAATTTCCTACAAAAGTTAAGTGGGTTGACTTTTTTAGAGAAAAATAGCTAAAAGCGTAAGTTAATATTACAAATATATTTAGGATCCTATTATATATATATATTTAGGATCCTATTACAAATATATTTAGGATGCTATTACAAATATATTTAGGATGCTATTACAAATATATTTAGAATCCTATTAGAAATATATTTAGGA